CGTCCTCAGAACTGTCACCGATGGAGTGGGTGACGTGCCATTAACAGATGTTACTTCCTGTAGGCGTGGCCAACCTGTACAGACTGGCCACGCCCACAGCCGCCCCTTGGTCTCTGGAGGTTGCTGTCCCATGTGGGTGAGAGGAGAAATGTTCCTTCGTCTCTGTTGATTGTTTCTGTGCCTCGCCTCCTGATTTCCATTGCCTCCTTTATCCAGCGTTTGAATTTGTTGGTTTCGGATCCAACGATGTTTCGGTGACAGTTCTGAGGACGGCTTGCAGTTGGCAGCCGAAACATGTCAACAAGGTAAAACATTCTTGTGGATTATTATTGTCTGACCCAAAGAAAACAAAAAGCATGAGTTCCATTAGTTATTGTGTGTCTGCAGCTGGGATTGGACCCCTAAAATCTGAAGAAATGGAGCTTTAAAACAGGGTGTAACACAGGTACATAGAAAGGGGAATACGGTAAATCCAAGCGGGACAATGGAGCAAAACGGTATTAAGTGAAAACAGTTTTCATACAAAAATGTTGAAGAAACTCAAATCAATAAATCAAAGATAATCTGGAGAAAACCTTATCTGACTCAATTCAACAGCTGTATGAGGATACATAAAAAATAAAAGTTGAAAAATCATAGAAATACCAAATCAGCATCGCCTACATTGTTAAATTACCATTAATATTCCAACTAAAGTCGCTCAATAACAACTCAAATGCTAAAATAATGCTAAACTGAAAGTAATCTGCCATCTTTCCACTGCAAACACACATACAGATTTCCATTTTATTCATTTAAAAGGGGGATCAGCCCTGATAAAAAGCAAACGCCAGGCGGCAGGATTCAGGTGGGATTATTCCCGGGTTCAAAGTTCACCTGAGGAGAAAAGCAAAACAACAATCAGCTTCTGGAGAGGAGAGTCGGGGTCTGTGTGAGCGTTTGTTTTCGGGGTTCGCACCTCGGTCTTCTTCTCTGGCAGCTTCCTCCAGGCCAGTTTGAAGTCAGTCACTCCCCGGTTAGCAAGCATCGCCCTCAACTAAAGGGAAAAGATGATGCTGAGTGTGGTCACTGACTAAAGGAACACGTGTCCACATCCCAAAAAGGAATAATGTGACGACAGAGGAAATAAATTATAGTTAAAAAACCCTCTTTATTACAGTTTTTAGAGTTCAGATGACCTGCATTCACGC